GTGGCAGATAAGTGCTGGAGCCAGTGGATATTGCAATCTAACGTAGAAGGGGTAGTTCGGAAACAAACGATGCTTGAATATCCATTCATATTAATTGAAGCCTTCTGGTTTGTTCCCTTCACAGATGCAGGGATCAGGGTTGGCTCCAGATAGGGCCCAGCAGTTGGAGCGAACTCCAAGCTCTCATCTGGAGCATCCTTTCTACCACATCCAAAGAGATTCCAGTCTACGTGGGCACGTGTTCGACAAGATATAAAACAGTTGTGATGAACAGCTTTCAGATCGTCCTTTTTCTTTCTGATTTGTGAGCTCTAAAAGATGGACCGTTGTTTCAGTCATCTCTCCCGAAGTGAGGGCAGTCCCTAGCCCTGACGGTGGTAAAGACGAAATTTCTGCAGCGTTTAGTAGGTTCCTAGCCTTAATTCATGCTATCGCAGTGCTGCGGCCAAAGAATTCCAAAAAAGGATCGTTGATGAGTTTTAGCTTTGCCAGACACACGAGTTTGAAGGGCCACCCGATCGCATAAAGTGCGCACGAGGCACTCAGGTGGCAAAAAAAAGGCTGACTGGGATTTTACGGCTGAAAATAGATTAACTTGCAGTGACTACTAGTCAGTAAGAGTAGTAACGGCTTCTGGAGCAGAACCGAGAAAGTACAAAGTAAGTGAAAACGATGAGAGAGAAGCAGTAACTGAAGAGGTTCCAGTTCCCAATCACTGATCATTTTCAGCCCTGATAAATCTTCGATGATGCTCAAATGAATTGCTCTGGGGGGACCAACTCAATTTGCTCAATTGCGTTTCTCCGATGTTGTTTTTGGTACTGAATGTAATCAATCCTCGTAAAGAAATATGATTTGTAATGCAATGAAAACTAAATTTGAAGGGCAGCTTCCCGAGACGAACTACCATCATGAAACTGATCATGGAATTGGCTCATGGACTATAAGTTGTTAACAGCCTGCAAGGAAATGAAGGTCGATTCCCTCATTTCATATGCATACCACCTTTCCTTACTGCCTTGTACCATCGAAAGTGGAGGTCCTATTGAAGCCGGGTGACTGATTTCGCCAAAAAAGGTCATCAGCGTCCCGGTCGAGGCGACATCTTAACAGAAGCAAATGGGTACGCTATGGTAATAGCGTGGTCTTAAACGCCCAGCTACTCAGGTTCGCTACTGGAATGTTTCGAAAATGCTCATTTTGAAAAGGGTCCAGAGTATCAGCAAAGCTGGACACAGGTAACAATGACTGTGAACGTGGTGTCGGATGGCGCGACACTTCCATTCCGGCATTCTTTAAAAATTCGCCGCAAGGTATAAAAATCTTTTCTTTCAATGATGCATAGCCTAAGTCGCCTTACAGTAACCGAATGAATGCTGGCGAAAAACAAAGGTAAATAGATTTGTCCCAATCTTAGAAACCAGGGTAGCCTACTGAGGTACCCTACCGGTCTCGCGAGTGTAAAACCTGGTGGAACACCTTTCAATGTGAGAGGAGGAGATATTCATGGGAATCGCTGATTCTTTGCCGATTTCTAAAGAAGATATTCAACTCTGTCTATTCTTCCTCATAGTTGATATTAGATTTTCCGTGTTTTCTTTTAAGTTATAGTTTGTAAATAGGAAGCGAGACGAAAATATGCGCAAGAACAAGATGAATGCAAGGTATGAAGTATGCTTTGGCCCAACCAACTCACCAAAAAGTCAGCGTGGTCAGTGGTCGATAGCTTTTGTGACTTTGGGTTGAAGCGATTGGTTGACCCCAGTAGTCAGTGTTGAACACCTGAAACATACGAACAGATGTCTAGACCATTCTAGTTTAAAGTTTCATAAATTGTCATCTCAAATTGAAGAAAAACAGGTTTGTTTCAGCTTTGAAAGGAAAAGTTACAAGGGATATCCGAACAAGGTTCAGACCCCGGAAAGCCCCTATCGTAACAATCCATCTTTAGATGAACCTATGGAAAAGTAGTCGGATCCCATCACTGGTTTGTGTTCGGGGTGTATGCTAGTTTTTTTTNTTTTTTTTCAATGAATGTCGTACTGATGGCGAACCTGTTTGATGCTGCCCCGTCCATTCACCACAGGATTGTTGAGAACGGTAGCGAAGTCATCGAATACGAAATCACCATTCAACGACGGCAAAAACGGACCGATGGCCAGCACTACCACCATCACGACCTTCAGATGAGAACTATCCCAAACTTGAACGGGGCACTTTTTCTCTGAAAATACCATTCATTCGCAAGACGAGAGAGGAAGGCATGTTTTTCTGTGATACATGAAAATTGCTCGCCACCCTCAGAAGCTATTCAAGGCCTCTTTCCCTCTTCTTCGTCTTCGACAAATCGACAGCGCGAGTGAGAAGAAAAGGCAGAGTGCTAATGATGCGGTTGGCGCTTTGAATTCTTAGAACTCACCGACTTCATGCTCTCTTCGCTTCGGCTTTAGCCGGCCACGCTTCATCTCCCTCTCCAGAAAAGTCGCCGCTTTTCTGGGGTTGGTGAAAGTCTGAAAAGTAAGATGTGAAGACAACGTCGCTAAAAATGGACATACGGACAAAACTCATTGTATCAGATGAATATAAAAGAAATTACGCACGTTCGAAGAGAGACAAACACGAAGCGATATAGAGGACTTGTCTATTTTTACGCTCGTTTCAGGTGAAACTTATTTTGGCTGAGGAACGGTAAAAGGCAAAAGTTTAGAAATACTCCTTTATGTGACTAATCCTGCCGATAACCGAGAAGCTGGCCGGCTACTTGGAGTTGAATACAACAGATTAGGTAGTAGAGCACGTCCTTCCTTTTGAGACATAACCCCAGGTTGAGAAGCCGTCGAGCCTCATTCAAACCTGCTCTCAAGTATTTCCAAACCTTCAGCATGGTCGGTTTCGGTAGGATGCGCTGCGCAATGTGGCTTAGTTGAAACCAATCTTATGCCAGAAAACACACGTCGAAATCTGATTTCGACCGGCCGATTTGTTTCCAAAAACTGTTTCCAGAGGTGAGATGAGGAGGGATTGGATAAAAGTCCTTTTTTCTGTGGGTTATACGAAATCCCTCCCCGCCTTGCAGGTCCAGCCCTTGTTCATGGCTTTCCACTTATTCACGCACTGCATACACGTAATCATTTCAGACATATATTAATCGTGTAGTGCACCTGAGATGGGCATTAGTAGGGGTTGAATATTCATGAGGGTCAGTAATCACAGTGGGTGTGGCTCGGAACAATTTGATTGGAACAGGGCTGCTAGACTTCAGCTGAAGGGCAAAGAAAAAGGGAACAAACGACTGGAAAAAAGAAAGAAGCATACAGAATGTCTAATGAGTGAGAGATTTGAGCCGTAAGAATTCTTCAATTCGATCCCTCTCAAAATATAATCAGTGTTAAAAGTCAAGGACGATTGGTTCAGTTCGAAAAACGTCATCGTCCACGATGAAACCCTGAGATGAGAACATAAAGCTGCTGACACTCTGCGCATGGAGATCCCTATCGCTTAATCGCATCCATCTGTGCGATGGCCCGTGGGTGGGTGGATTAGAGGGCTGGACCAAGCATTAGTCAGCGAGAACGAAGAGCCAAAGACGTTGTGAGTTCGAATTTCAGCCTGACGAGCAGATTAAGAGAACCCCAATAACGTCATTCTAGAGGGAAAAGCTAGTAGCGCATAGGGGTCCATCACGAAAAATCCCCCACCGCGAGAGAGTCCTCCACGATAATCACTATGCTCATCTCATAGAAAATTTCCTGAAAGTCTGCAAAATGCGTATGTCCCACGCTAATGGAGAGCTAAGATGCTTGGAGTGCTCTGACCACGAGTTACGTAATGCTGATGGCCAGCTGGTTGGTCAGAGCTATCCGCTCAAAGGAGAGATGCCGACGGCGCCTTTCTCAGCGGCGACAAAGAGACGGAAGCACAAGCCAGCGGGCAGAAGATCCCGAAGTCGAGTCGGAAGGGAGTGATGCTGCGGGAAGAGCGAAGCAAGGGCATACTGGGCCTCTCATACCATACAGAAATTAAAGTGCAGGGAGTGAACTGCTTCAGTATTAGGCACAATCGCTACCAAATCACTATACGAAGAAAAAAAGCATAATAATGGCATTTCTATGATGAAAAAACACATGAAAATGAATCAATATTTGGATCAAGGAGGTGTCAAAAAAATTAGAGGCACGTCTGATTCTCTCGCCTTTCGAAGCGCGCATCAAATTCAGACCCCGAAGAAGTGACAATGGTAGGAAGAATTCGGATCAGAAATCAAGAATAGATGATGGTTTCTCTTGGTCGAGCTCCATTATAAGTGGCAAACAAAAAGGAATTAGTTAGAAGTTCGGCACAGAATTGAGGCAGTTGCTGCAAAAGCAAGCTGACTACTACTCTTGACTGAGGGAAGAGCTTCTGCCATTGGCATAAGAAGGGGATGAAGAATACTCTTGAGTATTCTTCATCCGCTTCGTTCTTGCTAGACTCTCCTAACTAGCGGAAACTGTCTAGGGATGCGGCGTTTTGGGAGGTTAACGAACCGCGACACTCGTTCGCAAATTTGAACCACATAGAGGTCACTTGCACAAGACGACAGCCAAGAGATTTGCGAGGTCGACGCGAAAACATGGCGCCGATGGGCGGAGCCCTACTGAAAATCGCTCCCTCCAGAAGAGCGGCTTGCCTTATCAACAAGGCTCCCGAACAGGAAAAGCTCCTTCTGGAGTGGAAACCACCCACGACAAGACGTCTTTCAAGGTGGCACTTGTAGAAGATATATTGCTAAGCGTAGGTAGCAGAGGGATGAAGGAGAGCTCTTGAACAGACTTGACTTGCTCGTTTGATGATAGGTGAAGTAGCTGGTGACGAAATGCCAGTTGTCCTGAGCACGTTGTTGACATCTCCGGAAACGAGCTATTTAGCGCAGTTCTGACATTCAAGTGCGCTGTAATCGCTTTGCCCACTAACCATATGCAAAGGATGACTACAGCTGTCGTTCACTACTGTCCAGAGGCAGAAGTCCGGATTAGTCCAAATAGCTTTTGACAAACTCGTGCACATTTCGATTTGTGCTCCCCTGTGTTTTCGAGACATCACAATAAAATTGTGGCTGTCATCAACATGGCAATCAAATAAACGCCTATTTATTATATTTCCTTGTAAGGCATAATCATGGGATATTGCTGGAGACCTCGGCACGGGCTTTTCCTTTTTAATTGACCATGATGTTACCCAGAAAAACAAAGCTCTGCCTCTGATAGCTCCAGCATGGGTGGGGGTCGGCAGCATAGGCATGCTCCTGGGATCAAATCTCAACCAAATCGATACCCGCTTTGTCAGTCGGGTCTGCGATACCGATTAAT